GTTACCCTCTCCGGCGGTGCACCCCGATCCACGGTCCCTCGGAAATCATCCCCCCCCTCGAGTATCTTCGCTTCGACCTCCTCAAGGGACGACCGTTTCTTATCCTCGTTTGATATAAGGTCATCAAGTCTTGCTGATCGGTCTGCCTCCTCCGCAGCAAGTTGCTGAAGTTTACTTTGTTTCTCTTGTTCATTTTTGGAAAGCTCTACCAGTCTAGCGTGCAATGCCTCCTCTGCCTTTGCAGCGTCCCGCACACATTCGCCAACTGCGTCGAGGTCGCCCAACCTCGATCGCAAATTACCCTCATCTTGCCTCCACCACAGCCCGCAAGCTTAATTCTTCGCTCTTGATCCGTTCGAGATCGTTTTTCTTCGCCTCCTCCAGCATCCGAAGCTCCTCGATCCTGGCCTGCTGCTCCGTCTGTAGTAGTCCTTGCTCTAGTACTTCTCGTCTCAGGTTGTCGAGTCGCTGTGAGTGCTCCTTCCCCATGTCGCTCGCGTTTTCACTTGTCCTCCTCCTCTCATGTGACTGCCGTTTTGACCTTTCTGCTTGATAGGACGAAGTATGAATGATGTCGCGCTCAAGCCTAGCCAGCTTCTCCACAGGAATATCGATATCTGCCCCAATGTATGCGAAGTAGATGGACCGCTGAATGAAGAATGACGATAGGGACGCGCCCTGCTTCTCGGCCGGACTATGGAGGCCCGCCAGAAACATCGTAGCTTTGTCTCTGGCTTGATCTCGGCCCCTGAGTAGCCTAGATCTCCTCGGTAGCCCGGAATGGTCGTAAATCTCGTCCCCGTCTGTGATGCTCTCGACGCTCCTGTCAATCAAGTCCTCGTCGTCGGTTCCATGATCGCATGCACCACGCCGCGTCACCGCGGCGTTGAATGCATTGACCATTTTTATAATGCTACCCTCAAAGTCCTCGTACCGGTATTGATCTGGCCTTCGGGCCTCCCTTAAAAATCGACGAGCCATGGTCCTATCCGGGTCGAGCTGCAGTATGTCGTGAACTTCCTTGGTCTTGACCCCAAGCTCGTCAGCTAACGAAGCGAATCTAAACAGGACCTCCTCGTTGGCTTGGCTGTCCTTCACGTTTGCTAACTTTCGCTTTTTCCGAGGGAGCAAATGTTGATATTCGCGAATCGCATACAACCACAGCGCTCTGTACGCAAAATCCAACCATTGGGCATCGGTGAGGCCGTACCCGTCTGGCTTCCTCTCGTACACCATCGCTCTTTCCAGGGCCGAACGAATTGTATTTCCCTTCTTCACGTTTAGGAGTTGCTTGAAGCAAATCGCCGGGCCCTCCAGCCATTTGCGATCTTCGAAGAATGCGTAGAGAGATGGCACTACACAATCGGTCGTGAGGGCACAAAGCCTCGTCCATATCGCACTCCGCTCCTCCTCGGTAAAAGCGCCGAAGAGTTCGCCACGTCGTATACGATGCTTTAACTCATCCGTGTCGGCTCGACACGCGCCAGGGGCCTTGAGTTGTATGGCTTCCAGGGTAGGTATATCCAGCTTCTTCATCGTATCGATATTCCGATCAAAGAGATTTTCGAAGAAGCTCCTAACGTGTCCAAGAAAAGACAGATGTTCCTGTAGGTAGGTCAGGAAACTGTTCGCCAGGCAGGAAAGTGGCATACTTACTTCGTGACAATTCATGTAGATCACTTTATTGATCACGCTCAGCCGTAAACCGCTATAAAGGGCTGGAAGATGCTGGAACGCATCGAATGCCGGCCCGAAATCCGGGTGTTTGATCAGTTGATTGAGACGATCCGCCAGGTACGTCGACCTGGAGGCCAACCGAGCCGTCCATCGGTTCTGAAAATATTTGTTCCCCTCTCCGAAAATGCCCTGGAACTCGCGGATCTTATAGAAAAACTCGCCATGGCTAGGCGTCCTCTCGTTTGAGTACTCGTCGATGAGAGACTTTCTTAGGTCCGCACTGATATCTTCGTTACTGGGTAATTAGCCACTAACCATATCTGTCCTGCATCGTCAGTCATACCGGCTGGGTACAAGTCGACGATCCACCGCTGGGCCGCGAGATCGAAGACTTCTTCGGCCGCCTTGGCCCGGTGACGTCCTCGGAGACATTCCAAGCGAAACCCGGCAGGAAACTCGAGCCGGGCGTGGCTCCTGGGGTTCTCATGCCGTAGTTGGCCAGCAGAGATCCCGGACTGTTCCAGGGATTGCTCGAGCTGGCTTTGGTAGATGATGGCAGGTATACGATTGGCAAATTCCGCAGGCCTGCAGCCGCGCTCGGCTCTGAAAAGCTGTTTTAGTCGCTCGACATTCTCTACGTCCAAGACACGTGAGTGTGGGAAGTGTAGAATATCGAGACGCACGCTCGCCGTTCCTAAATGGGTAATGGATCTCTCCTTTTCGATGCGTTGAGAGATAGCTAGGAATCCTGACCCAGCCATTAGGGCAGAGATAATGCATATCTAGGTAATATTGTGACTGCGGCATGGATGAGTATCTGCCTACCTATCTAGGTACTTAAATACCTAGGTAGGCAAGAAATCACATGTGGAGAAGGCAGCCATGTATTTCCTTGTATGAATCAAATCGTCGAACAGGTGGTTAGGCGAGGCAACTCGAACGCCCAGTTTAAGGCCTATTATGGACTTGTTCTGGTCCTATAATTCGAGAGTAGAAGTGACCCATAACAGTACCTATCTAGGTAGGTATTCTACCAGTATTTTACAAACTTGGAGACCCAATTTAGGGACGCCCGGTTCAAGGTATGATACCTACCTACCTACTTAGGTAGCTAGGTACCTGGGTAGGTATTTAAAGCAAACGCCGAGGATACCTCGTCCCATACGCCCACATGAACATAATCTAAGCTCGTCATGTCATCCGACTCTCATCACCGCGACACTATATTTCCCGGCTCACTGCCCGTCGGCATTCATCCCGTCGCCCAACATGGCGTAGAGCTAGCCCAACCCAGCGTCGTACACACCAAACACCTTCGTAAGCACGTGGGGCCCCAAACTGATGCACAACATCTCTCAAAGGAAGCTCCCTTTCAATCTCCCTATCGTTCCCACACCTATTCCACAGAAACGCATAAAGCAAAACGTAGAAGCATGTAACGCAGTCCTCGTATTGCGTGAATCGCCTTGGAAGACGTATGAGCAGTTTCTCGAATTGAATTTTGGTACGAACCAGGATATGCCAATACTAAGGATAAAAACGGTACTTCCTAATGACCCAGATTCAAGTCTAGCAATCATGAAAAACTTCTCTAGCTATGACCAGATACGTGCCATCCGGCGGATCGAGCATCCACACTTCCTCACAGCACTGCGGATATTCCATACGGAGAGCACATATCACGTAGCCTTTGAGTTTATGCCGTTATCGCTCCTGGAGCTGGCCGGTAGCCCGGAGATTGACGAGGATTGTCTAGCCGCCATAGTGGGCCAGGTGAGATATTTTTAATTATCTTTAACGCATCGAACGACCCACATCCTAACGTGGACAGGTCCTTGATGGACTTTCTTATTTGGAAAGGGAAAAATTGGAACATGGCCAACTAACGTCATCCAACATCCTCATTAACCTAGACGGCAGCGTAAAGATTTGTAAGTCTTGACATAGTCATGTTAACAGCTTCGTTGGCTAAGCGTCTTAAGGGGGTTATGAGGGAGTCCGAGTTATTTCGAGTTCACGAACGGATATTCGAGCTCTCGGCGTTATCATAATGGAACTGATGCAAGGGTATACAAAAGAGGATGGCGCGGTCGGCGTAGATGATCTGGAGCGTTGGCCATCGGATTTTGCTGCCGTGGATTTCCTGTCGGCAACCACATGGGCGTCGGGGGTGGGCCAATTAATTGAGGCAAGATTATCGTCATATAACTATACCACCATGATTTCATGCCGGCTAATATGGTATAGCACCCACTCATAAGACAACCCTGGCACCAATGCCAGCTTAGGCATGTTACGGTATTGGGAATCTTTCTTGTAAGACGTGCGTTGAAATATTCTCCGTTAGCTAAGGATATTACGGTAAGTGCCTAGTTGGGTTGATACAGATATATGTAGTAACGTTATATCATAGACGTCATAAAAGCTAAGAGAGAGCATTCGCTGGCTTCACGGTCGATATGAAACGTTCGGTGAGGAGAACATAAAGCTATCACACCTTGGGATAAGTTTATATCGGAAGGCTAATATCGGGCATATTCAATCGTTATGGTATGTAACGAACCCTGCTGAGGTCATTCTACGAAGCCATCAGATGTTTATGCTTAGACAAGATCGTGGGCGAAATCTTCAGTATAGGTCTGGGAATCACTATCGTAGCATTGTGGATCAGGGAACTCGAATCGCAGAGCCACTTTCTTGAACTCGTCGATCTCTCTAAGGGATGGTAATATCACGAAGCAGACGTCTTCCCATCGATTGAAGCGATTTGGTACGGACGGGGCAAGGTATTCTAGTATGTCACCTCCATCGCAATAAGAACATATGTAATGTACCCAATATTACCTGGTAATCCGCCACACCTGCTAGCCTATTTGCATAAACCTCAGTATCCCCCAAGTTGTCGACATTAAGCATTTGGCCAATTCCTTCTATCATTGATTAACAAAAAGCTTCAGAAAATAGCTAAAGCTCATAAAAGATTTCACGGAAATTCTTTATAGGCATGGGTGGTATTTCAATATAGCATTGAACAAACATCCTGCCATCGTGAAAAAAAGGGATAGAAAATTTATATATGAATGGCCAACCCTTTTCAGATACCAGGCTATTAATGGTTTCGAAAGTCTTACAATCGGCTACCAAACCCACATCCACCCTGAATTCGATTATAGCGTCAGGGCTGACCCTATAGTAGATGGCAACCTTCAGCTTCCCCATTTTTTACAGTAGACCAAGCATCCAAGGGCCTAGTATGTTACTATCTCCAAGACAACAGCACTTATCTATGGCAATGAATAATTGCTTAACGGAGCCTGAAGTCTAGGTTACGTACCGGTATGATCTGGAGGTGTCCTTATGAGTCTTTTTCTTGCTTGGGTGAGTACCGAAGTGCCACCTCCCATATTTAAAGCATGGGATGCAAGAATCGATACTATCAACTCCTCTTCATTACTGAATGATTGTTGAGCAACCTCATTGGTAAGGGGAAGTGTGGTAGCAAGCTCTTTTTGTTTTGTAAAAGCTCCATCTTGAGGTTTAGGTATGCTCATTGTTGCAAGTAGTAATAACGAAAGTTTATGAATATTACGAGTTAATTTTTGAAAAAGCACCGGGGGAACTTCCTTTTATGATCGATATTAGATAAGAAAATTCAACACTTACTTCCTTTTATCAAATGATCTGACTTTTACAAGCATACACCTTAAACTTTGCCAAATGTCAGGGACCAGCAACAGACCGCATATCTCACGAGAAATCTATGAGTCAATCATGAGCTCAGACGATGTCAGAATTAGCATAATATGAAAACGACGAAGATGATGACCCCAGGCAAAACCGATCAACAGATATAATTCCAGAAGGGGCCAAGTAAATGTAGGCCTCAGTTTAACACCACCAACCTACTACATATGACCATAGGTTAGGCTTATGGCTGGCGCCTTCTAACCCCTCCCCCCTTTCTTCACCAGGCACATCCAATGACAGAAGAGGCCCTTTCACACATCACCCTGACACCCGCTCGGCGATCGTCTAGGTGGTTCGCTAGATTCCGCTGTGGCATCAGTTGCTCCTTCCCCTGGCCTTCGAATCAGTTGCCAAGGATGTCTGACCATGTAGATCCCAGTCTAGTAAAATGATATTGACGGCTATTCCGAACTAGCAACGATCTGGTTTTTGTCTCAAACATTGCAGCATCTATATGACTCCCATGCCGATCCACTACACGAATAAACGGCGATTAAGTCGACATACCCTTCAAGAACATCATATCCTCGAGCAAGTCTAGAAGCTTATCGCCATGATACGAGCAGCAGGATCGATATCATCATTTACGTAGGCCAACATGGCAAGCCCGGCTGAGGTGCAAATTCAACAGGACGTAGTCGGAGAAGACGACTACGTTCTGTTGAGAGAGCTATCCAAATCGTCTCGTAGTGTTGTTCAATATGTTGGCCCTACTGGCAGACACCAACAGGCTAAGATCTACATATTATTGAGTATTGAACAGAAGATAGTATGCTCAGGTGGCATCGGATCGGCGATTATAAGGAAGGGAGGAGTGGTGGCGTGATAGTCTCGGGGTGGCCGTGGTTGGTGCCGATATGCTACTGCTCTCAAATCCACCCTGGCACGAAACCATGTTCAAGCTACTGTCGAGCTTCCTAATAATAGCCGAAGTACCTTTTTTAGCTTTAACGAGAATATCCTCCTTCTATTCCCTGCTCAAGAAGCGACATGATAGCAGGCATGTCTCAAGAAGTTGGCCCACTAGCCCCGGCCATGGGCACGGCTGGATAATAGGGGGGGTAACGTGCTCAAAGAGTAGCAAGTCTCCATCTATTGATGGCATAGAAAAATATTTATCGGCCTTAATAAGTCAGAGTAGGTCTCTTTATCGAAGCTGAGCAGATAGTTTAGAGTTTGGCAGGGGTAAGGGTTCCTCCAAATACAATAAGTTTATAAACTAAGTCAGCACATAGGCCTCTCTACCAGGGATTAGGTTACAACATAGGTCTCAACACAGCGGTCTCACTTATCTAGCAACATGGTTAACTCTTCCTGGATCAATTTCTCTTCCAAGGAATATGCCACCATATTCGGCAGCCCTTACCAGACGCAGCAAAGTATAGCATCAACCGATAGTCCTTAGACATGCAATGGATCTCCTACAAAGGCAAACTTTAATTTTATTACCTCCTATTAATTATCTATAAAAACTAGCCATATCTTATCGTTATATATAATAGATATATAGCTTTATTACTACCTACCATTATTGGGTATATTTATTTTTATATAAAATCAATATGATATTTATCAACTAAATAAATATCCCTAATTCAGCTCTCTATTCATTACTTACCTTTATTATATCTTTATATCACTTCACTTAGAACACGTCCCTAGCGGTCCTAGCCACGTCCTTGTCCACCACCTCTTCACCGGCATGTACCAATGCCTTAGACCAAAAGGATCGTCCTCCCACGAGAACAAGGCTACCGAATTCGCAACAAGCATCCGAACGTACGCGGTTGCACAGGAATACGAGTTACCTACCCTGGAGGAACTTGCCAAGAACAAAACGGAACGTCTCGGGCATCACCTGCAAATGGCCCAGTTCCTCAACATAATGATGGATGCCTATCCGACTCATCGATCCAACAATGTATGGCTTCATAATTATATCAAGCCTCAGGTCGAGTCGCTTATTCATGGGCCTGCTGATTTCCTCATGAACGGTTCTTCAGAGAGCTCCGGCCAGACTCTATCAATTACCAGTGTCCTGCTCGGGGCTTCACGAAGAATGAAATAGGATATTGCATAAAGCTTCGTGCCTCGCTTACAGTCTTGCGGCTTCCGACTTACTGACCAGGGGCAGCCATGCTTTCATAACCCACCCCTATGGCAGCTGCTTGTCATGATCTAGACGGATTATCAACCAATACGCTGCGGACCTACGCTTTTCTTACTTCCCTTCTACGTGGTTACGGACGAAATGGTCGCTACCTCAACCTGCCTGGTCCCCCTATTCCTTGGTGGTCGGAGGCGCACCCAACATGTTAGCACTTGTTGCCATACCTGCGCGAGACCTTCATTTCCTCCCATGCACGATTAAATTGTTATGTCTTAGGTCGCTACTATTGTCTATTATTACCTATTACTGCCTACGATTATGTAGAACGCGGGTATGTGCTGTGTGCTATTTCGAGCCGCGTTCTACCATAGCCACATGTTCGTCCTTGCCTCCACAAATCAAATCCATCATCACCATATCCTGAACTTGAAGCCTTCTCCCCGCAATTCTGTCCTCTCCTTGGAACATCTTGTGTTTTTTGCTCCATCTGAGCGTCAGCGGGAACCAATCCGCATTCGCTCGAACCTCAATATGCAACCAATCGTAAGCATAGCAGAGTAGGAACTCCCCTTCGACATGTTCACAACCATGGCAGCTTTCCGACTTTCTCTTCCAGCTGCCTCCATTGC